ACTCTGTCCAGGGGTCATCACATTCCTAAGGAATTCAAAAGAACAAAGTTATCAATTTATCGCAGCTGAGAGGGGCCATAAAATCTACAGAGCAAGTATATCTCCTGGAGGGTGCATATCCAGCTGGGTTAGTTAATCAGGTCATTCAAAGTTACAATATGGTTTCTCTTCTACAATATGGCTTCCCTCATGTCAGTCTTGTGTTGAGCCAGTATCATTCCCTCTAAAGCTGGAAAGATTTTTTGTTCGAAAGTCAGGCAGAGGAGGTCTACCTAGTGCCACCCCCCAAGCTATGGATGCAAACCAGGGGTCGTGACCTCAAACACCTAGGAAAGGGTCAGCTCAGTAGAATGAGCTGCCTCTGGGTGGGCTATGACCTAAAACAGGCTGGGAGGAGTGAGAGGTGGGGAGGTGGATTCCTGACTTGTCAAGTATCTGAGAGTGATTCTCATACCTACCCAGGTAGCCTCTCCTCACCATCTGCTGTCCTGATGTTCTGGGAACTACAAACCTCTCCAGGGGAAACCTGGTGACCATCACCCTCAGGCATGATCTCGGACTCAGCTGTAAGCTGACAAATGTTCTCTGCTCGACCGAACCCTAGCCAGGCTCCTCTGAGCTCTCTTCTCCAACAGTTGCCAACCTTGGCCTATGAAAACTATCCTCTCGGGCTGGCCTGGTGGCATAGTGGTTAAGTGCGTGTGCTCCACTTTGGCGGCCTGGGGTTCACAGGTTTGGATCCCGGGCACGGACCTAGCACCGCTTGTAAAGCCATGCTGTGTTGGCATCCCACATAAAATAGAGGAAGATGGGCACAGATATTAGTTCAGAGCCAATCTTCCTCACGAAAAACAAACAAAACAAAACACAACTATACTCTCAACACAAATTACTTCATCCACTCTTCCCTCCCAAACACGCATTAAAAGACACACATAATAACGTAGTTTCTAACAGCCCAAGGCCACATCCCTAGGATGACTCTAGCCCTCTTTAAAGTGTCTGATAAAGCTCAAGGCTGCCAAAAGAATTTACTGTTTGTTCTAGCCAACACCTGATGATAGGCCCCTGACCACCCCTTCTTAGAGCATTTACTAAAAAGGGCTTACAATTATGGCTCCTTCCTCTGTCCCTTTGAGATGTATATGTATCTCATACAACTGAGGAATGTCTTTCCCAAGGACCTGAAAGCCATTCCTTGGAAATGTAATCATCACTAAGGATAGGGCCTCCTCTCCCAGGCTCTGTGAGAGGATAGCATCCTAACTTTGAGAGTGGCCAGCTAACAGATACAACTGGCCTAATCAGCATTTACACTGACCAACCTTTTGTAATTTTTCACTTCCCTGACTCTGTTGAGCCCCTGCTCACCTCCCTACCTACTCCCTCATTCTCCCTTTGAAAGGCTCACTCTGTGCGGATTGAAGTTGAGTTCAGTTCACGGTGGACCCTGTTCACTACTGCAATAGTGTATTACTGGTTAAAATTTGGCCTTACCACTTTAACTAGCATCTGGCATTGTTTATCTTTGGCAAAGGGAGTATCTGTTCTGAGTCCTGGGGACCCAGGCTCTAGCTTTCCCCTTCTCCACCAACTGCTAAAACGGTGAGTTATCACTATATCCTTGGGCAAGTAGCCAAGTGGCCACCAGAGGCACTGGACCCTCACTAAGGTTGACTCTGGAATGCTTTTCTGTTTCCTTTAGATATGTGTTCCCATCACAGGCTGTGATGGGCTAAGCCCATGCTCTGCCCGTAAAACCAGATGCCAGGCCCTTCCTGCAGGGGCTTTGCCTCTGCGCCTGAGTCACGTGCAATGGCAACATCCGCCTCACAGGCAGAAGGTAAATGAGCCTTTTTTGAGTTTACATCCATCTCCCAAATCTGTATTAGCAGATTATTCAGGGGGAAATTAAGATGGCTTTTCACGGGCAGGACAGACAGACCCTCTCTATCTCTCAGCTCCAACAAGAGCGCTCATCTCCTCCCTCGCTCCCTTCCAATTAGATGGCGAAATGGTTCACCTGTTTCCCCTTGCTGATTGCGCATTCCCACCTTCTCCACCCCTCCAAATTCTGCCTGACTGTCCAAAGTCTACCTTGAGTTTTCCTTCTTCCAGAAGTTTCTCCCCAACTGCCTCAGCCCCATGTGAGCCTCATCCCTTGTGTAGCACTTGAATTTGCATCATTCATTTAAAAGCCTAGCTTTGCCAGTGAACCGTCCAGAGCAAGGGAGGCGGTGCAACATGGCAGATGAGAGTAGAGGGCTTTGGAGGCAGACAGCTACTATAAGTAGCAAAGTGCAAAGAGGAGCTGGCTCCCTCCCTCCCTAGGTTTCTGTTTGGGGGACAGAAGCTTAAAGGCAGACCAATCTGGCAGCTCCCACACCTAATGGTTTGTGTGACCCAGAGCAAGTTACACAGTTCCTTCATCTGTAAGATGGGAATAATAATAATAGACCCTACTTTTTAGAGTAGTTGTAAAGATCAAATGAAAAAATACTATGATCTTAGATAGGAAGACTATCAAAAAGAAATCAAGTTAATCTATAAATTTAATGGGATCCCAGTACAAATAGATAAAAATGGATTTTAAAAATTCACTTGGAAAAATAACAAGCAAAACTAGTCGGGAAATTTCTGAAAAACTAACAGTAGTGAAAGGTGTTAGCCTTCTTAGATAGTAAACATATTATAAAGTTAAAATAGTATGGTAGATCAGTGACATAGACCTGCAAGTCTAGAAATAAACTCAAATACTCATGGAAATTTGGCATATGGTAAAGATATATTTCAAGTAAGTGGGGAGAAAGATGAATTATTCTATAAATGGTGCAGGGACAATTGGGGAATCACCTACTAAACAGTTGGCTCTGAATGAATTAGTGGATCAATCAAAAATCACCAATAGCTACCAGTATCATGAAAAATGAAGATAACTGGCTTCATTTGAAGATAAATAGATAACTGACCCCTGATAGAAGTATGACACACTGAAAGTAGTGTTGAAAAAAGAAATCACCCCAAATCTGACAACTACCAATGTGCAGAAAATGCAGGTATCACAGGAACATATTATTTGAAACCATGGGGATGCAATCAACAAAATTCAGTGAGAAACTGTACAGGACAAATGACCCAGTTTCTTCAATGAACACATTGCAAATTTTAAGAAAAGACAAAGAGGAGAATCCGCGAATTGAAAAATGCTATATCAACCAATTGCAATGTATGGACGTTATTTGAATCCTAATTCAAACAAACTGAAAGAAAAATTGTATGAGAAAAGGGTAGGGGCCGGCCCATGGCTGAGTGGTTAAGTTCACGCACCCAGGGTTTCACCAGTTCGGATCCCGGGTGTGGACATAGCACCACTCATCAGGCCATGTTGAGGCGGCATCTCACATGCCACAACTAGAAGGATCCACAACTGAAAAATATACACCTATGTACTGGGGGATTTGAGGAGAAAAAGGAGGGAAAAAAAGACGATTGGTAACAGTTGCTAGCTCAGGTGCCAATCTTCTAAAAAAAAAAGAAAAGGGAAAATTTGAACACTGACCATTGGATATTAGTAATTATTATTAGTTTTAAGTGTGCTAACGGTGTTGTGCTGTTTTTATTTTAAAGCCCTCATTTAGTGATATATACTGCAAACATGTTTATGGAATGATAAGATGTCCGGAGTTTGCTTCAAAATAATCAAAGGTTGAGGCGGAAGGATAGATACAGCAAGGCTGGCTAAATTGATAATTGTTGAATCTGAGCGGTGATGGTTACTTGGGGTTCATTATAACATCTTTCTAATATTACATGTATTTGAAGTTTTCCATAATAAAATGGTTTTTTTTAAACTTCAGTCAGATCTCTACCTCTTACTTAGCTAAAACCCAGAAATAACAACAGAAACTAAATGAATAGAAAAAAGGAAGACATTTTTGCAATTTAGATCAGAGGTAAAAGGCTAATGTGAAGTGCTTCTGCAAATCGGTAAGAAGATGACCAAGAAAACAACAGGAAATGTGAAAAGAATGTGAACAGATGGTTCACAGAGAAGGAAACGCAAATGGCTCTGACACAAAGAGATGAAGAGCTTCACTCTTTTTTTAAAATTGTGGTAAAGCACACATAACATAAAATGGGCCATTGTAACGATTTTTAAGTGGACACCTAAGTGCATTAAGTACATTCACATTCTTGTGCTACCATCACCACCATCCATCCACAGAACTCTTTTCATCTTGCAAACTGAAATTCTGTATCCAGTAAACAATAACTCCACACATTCTCCCCTCCCCCAAGCCCCTGACAACCACCATTCTACTTTCTGTCTCTATGAATTAGACTATCAAGTCATATAAGTATGAGGACAGTAATTGCCCTTTTGTGTCTGGCTTATTTCACTTAGCATAATGTCTTCAATGGTCATTCATATTGTAGCATGTGTCAGGATTTCCTTCCTTTTTTAGGCTGAATAATATTCTATTATATGTATATACCACATTTTATCCATTCATCTGTCAATAGACACTTGGGTTGGTTCCATCTTTTGCCTATTGTGCATAATGCTGCTATGAACATGGGTGGACAAATATCTCTTCAGGTCCTCGCTTTCAATTCTTTTGGGCACATACCCAGAAGTGGAATTGCTGGATCATATGATAGTTCTGTTTTCGGGTTTTTTTGGTGAGGAAGATTGGCCTTCAGTTAACATCTGTTGCCAATCTTCCTCTTTTTGCTTGAGGAATATGGTCCCTGAGTGAACATTTGTGCCAATCTTCCTCGTCCTCTATTTTGTATGTGGGATGCTGTCACAGCATGGCTTGATGATTGGTCTGCACCCGGGAACGGAACCTGTGAACCCTGAGGTACTGAAGCAGGGCACGCTCACTTAACCACTACGCCACTGGACCAGCCCCCTGACAGTTCTGTTTTTAATTTTTTGAGGAACCACCATAATGTTTTCCACAGTGGCTGTATCATTTTATTTTTTTTCTTTTTCACATCAGACAGGTAATGTGCTGATGTCATAACAAGGTTTGTGGGGGGCACAGCTCCTGCAACAGCATGAAGACTCAATCATTGTGCTCATGAACTATAAAAGGATCCTGTACCATTTTGCATTCCCACCAACAGTGCACAAGGGTTCCAATTTCTCCAGATCCTCATCAACACTTACCTTCTCAGAGCTTCCCTCTTAATAAAAGAAATGCAAATTAAAACCACACTGAGATATCATTTTTCACCTATCAGATTGGCAAAGATAAAAAATCTTGATAACTATCTTGGCACAAGTTTAGGGAACAAGGATTCTTATACATTGCCAGTGTGACTGGAAATCCGTACAGCCTCTATGAAGAACACCTTGGTAAGGTCTTCAAATTACACCTGCACACACCATTAGACCTAGCAATTTCTAAGAAAATATCCTATTTTCACATGTTCTTAGTTACGTATAGAGATGGATATTTGTTACAGCATATAAGGGGAAAGATTAAAAATGATTTAAATGTTAAAGATTAAATGAATGGTGTCTTTTGTTATCATCACTTCACTAGATAAGAAGCTATTGGAGGGGCCAGCCCTGTGGCTGAGTGGTTAAGTTTGCATGCTCTGCTTCAGCGGCCCAGGGTTTCACTGGTTTGGATCCTGGGTGTGGACATGGCACCGCTCATCAGGCCACGCTGTGGTGGCGTCCTACATAGCACAACCAGAAGGACCTACAACTATAATATACAACTGTGTACTAGGGGGCTTTGGGGAAAAGAAGAAGAAGAAGAAGAAAAGAAGATTGGCAACAGATGTTAGCTCAGGTGCCAATCTTTAAAAAAAAAGAAGAAGAAGCTATTGGAGAGCAGAGGCATGGTTTTTGAAGGTCCAAACAGACCTTCAAGAAATATTGATTAGATTAATTAAATTATTACTTAGCCTCTGGCAGAACTGAATTGGCAGGCAGCTCAGGGAGGTTAAGCGGCTTGTCCAAGGTCATCCATACAATCTATACTACCTATTCTTTATGTGCAAAGCACAGAGGCAGGCACTGTGAAAATTACTGAAATCGAAGAATTGGACCCTACCTACTACGAGCTTGAGATCTAGTAAAGCACTCTAACAGACACTAAAAATATCAAGGTTTTTTTTTTGTTCTTTCAATTATATCAATGGAGACCATTGTTCTGGTGGATAAAATGAGGCCCAGATCAGAGACGCAGCTTCTCAAAGGCCATACAAAAAGGCAGGAGAAGGGTGCTGATGAAAACTGAAGTCATCCTTCCATTTGTGCCCCATCCTTAGTGCCCTAGGGGACTCATTTCAAGGGACCCACTGCCCACCAATGTTCCATACACTGGATCAGCCTTCTCCAAGGTGTGTTACATTATAGGTCCTGTGAGAGACTCTTCTAGAAAAGGATTCCCTAACCTATCATGTTTGTGAAATGCTTTATATGTTAGCCTAAAGGTTCCCCATGCATGTAGGGTTTTTTTCCTAGTTCTGTCCATTGAGAAGGTCTGAGAGCAGTGACACCCCATTAGCAACAAGCATACAGCTTGTTTTTTTTTAGTTGAGGTGAAATTCACATAATATAAAATAAACCATTTCAAAGCATACAATTCCGTATATTTAGTAATTCACAAAGTTTTGTTACCGATACCTCTATCTAGTTCCAAAACATTTTCATCACCCAAAAAGAAAACCCTGTATCCATTAAGCAATCACTCCCTATTCTCCTCACTCCCAGCCCCTGGCAACCACTAATCTGTCATCCGTCTCTATGGATTTACCTATTCTAGATATTTCATGTAAATGAAATCATACAATACATGGTCATTTGTGTCGGACTTATTTCACTTTGCATAATGTTTTCAAGTTTTATCCACATAATAGTATGTATTAGTATTTATTTTTTATAGCTGAATAATATTCCACTGTATGGACATACCAGGTTTTGTTTATCCAGTATATATATATATTTTTTTAATGATTGGCACCTGAGCTAACATCTGTTGCCAATCTTTTTCTTCTTTTTTTTCTTCTCCTCCCCAAAGCCCCCCAGTACATAGGTTTATATTCTAGTCATAGGTCCCTCTGCTTGTGCTGTGTGGGACCCGCCTCAGCATGGCCTGATGAGCGGTGCCATGTCTGTGCCCAGGATCGGAAGTGGCAAAACCTCAGGCTACCGAAGCAGAGCATGCAAACTTAACCACTCGGCCACGGGGCCAGACCCCCTAGTATATTGTTGTTTTTTTTTAAAGATTGGCCCCTGAGCTAACATCTGTTGCCAATCTTTTTCTTCTTTTTTTTCTTCTTCTCCCCAAAGCCCCCAGTACATAGCTTTATATTCTAGTTGTGGGTCCTTCTGGTTGTGCTATGTGGGACCCACCTCGGCGTGACCTGATGAGGGGTGCCATGTCTGCGCCCAGGATCGGAAGTGGCAAAACCTCAGGCTACCGAAGTGGAGCATGCAAACTTAACTACTTGGCTACGGGGCCAGCACCCCCTTCCCCTGAGTATATTGGTTTTTAAAAGTTGAGAAGAGAGGGGCTGGCCCTGTGGCTGAATGGTTGAGTTCGCGCGCTCCGCTGCAGGCGGCCCAGTGTTTCGTTGGTTCGAATCCTGGGCACGGACATGGCACTGCTCATCAAACTACGCTGAGGCGGATTCCCACACGCCACAGCTGGAAGGACCCACAACGAAGAATATACAACTGTGTACCTGGGGGCTTTGGGGAGAAAAAGGAAAAAATAAAATCTTTAAAAAAAAAAAAGTTGAGAAGAAAATTAACTTGTCTACCTTTGTTTAATGGATCTTTGCCCTCTCTGCAGCAACACTTGTTAACATCCTATAGAAGCACTCTTTGGAAAATACTATACAAGATATTTGGCAAAGGCAATGGTCAGACTCGGAGGAGGAGGGCCCACTTAATGATAAAGTACACTTGACAGCTCTCCAGAAGGGGTACGCTGTTTGGTTATTCTATCAGGTCTGGGTTTTGATGATTTAAAACCATACCAGCTATTTCAATTTCTCCTTGGAAGACCCAGCAGAAGAGTTTAATATCCTCTCCCTATTTTCTTCACCTGGTTCCCACCCCTTCGCCAGTCTCCCTGTAGTAAATGCTCTTGGTTACATCCCTTTACCCAGATGGTGCATCTATTCCCTAGCTGTTGTGAGCCTTGGCTGCTAATGCCTCACAGCTCCACCCTTCCCTGGAGAATTGTCCTTGGTCCACATGAGCTGCTTTGCCCAGAGATGTCTGGGAAATTAAGCTCCCCCCTCCCTCACCTCCCAGTAGCCCACAGCCCATGAATGACGGATATGGAGCAGAAAGTCCAGCTCCCTTGCTGCTACGAGGGATAAACCTTGTGGGGCATTTTATGTTCCGGAGCTCCCTATGGGATCAGACTGAGGCTAGACTTAGCTGAACCCACATCTTTGCTGGCTTCCTTCCCTGCCTTATCCTGCTTCCCTCACTGCCGTAATAAATCATTTGCACGAGAATCCCTGTCTCAGGCTCCGCATCTAGGGAACTTGACCTAAGATATCCCTGTGGGTAGTCCTCGCTCCCTGAGATTTCCTGCTACCAGCAGCAGCCATACTTTTCACGCAGGGTCCTGCAGATTGTACCTCCCTCAAGAAATCTTCCTGGACCCGGACCCTCACGCTCTGGCAGCATGTTTGTTTGTTTAATAAGGAAGTTGGATGCCTATCCTGTGCCAGGCACTGTGCTAAACTCTTTACGTGCATTAGCTCATTGAGTCCTCCCAACAACCTGGTTAGGTAAATACTATTGTATTCCCACAGATGAAGAAACTGAGGCTTAAAGAGGTTGAGCGGTTGAGTGGCTTGCTCACACAGTAAGAATGTGATGGGAACTGGGGAGGATTTGTCTGATTTCAAATCCTGTATTTAACCACTAGACTCTATCATATATTGCAGCATCAGGACTTTTGTTATGGCTCCGTCTACCCTACACAGTAGGACTATGCACAGAGCAGAGAGCTACACGTTTTTGCGTCTGCTGCTGACAGATTGCACTGAGGCCTTCATCTTATTAAAAACTTCCTTGAGTATCTTTGCTTCTCAGGCCAAGAAGTGCAAAGGCGTTGGAGCCACCTCCCCCCGGCCCCAGCACGCCTGTCCTAGGAGGTGGAGTGAAGCCCTTTGCCTCTGAGCTCCTTGGAGCACATGGTTTTTTTTGAGCCCCTGCCAGAGCTGCAGCTGCAGGCATCCCTGCCTCCCACTCCACTGCGGAGCAGGGATCTGCAATGCTGAGAACAGCAGCCGTGGGAGGCAGCTCATCACCTCCCTGGAGGCCTCCTGGGTTCATAGAACAAAGAGAAGGCACTTAAGTGAGGGAAAGAGGAGGAGACCTGGGCCAAGCAAAGAGAGGCAATTGACTCCAGGGGAGAAGGCTGAGGGAAGGAGAGAGAGTGTTTGGAAGAGGCAGAGTAGTGGGAGCTGAGCAGAAGATCGCTCTTTATTCATTCATTCAACAAATTGGTTTTTTTTTAAGATTTTATTTTTCCTTTTTCTCTCCAAAGTCCCCTGGGAACACAGTTGTGTGTGTGTGTGTGTGTGTGTGCGCGCGCACGTGTGTGTATTTTTTTTCAGTTGTGGGTCCTTCTAGTTGTGGGACGCCACCTCAGCATGGCTTGATGAGTGGTGCCATGTCCGCGCCCAGGATCCGAACCTGTGAAACTCTGGGCCACAGAAGCTGAGCATGCGAACTTAACCACTTGGCCACAGGGTGGCCCCAACAAATTGTTTTGACCACCTACAATGTCCCTGTTCTAGTGACTGAGGATATAAAGCAAAGATCCTGCTTTAATGGGACAGAATGGGAATAACAACAAAAATAATCCTAATAATGGTTAATATTTTTTGAGCATTTACTATGGAGTCAAGCATTTATCTTATCCTCACAACAATCTCAGGCACTTGATACTATTATTAACCCATTTTACAGACAGACAGGAGACGCAGAGTAGTCAAGTGACTGGCCAAGGTTACATAGAGTTAGAGCAGGAGTCTCATCTCCTTTGAGACTGACCACAACGTCTCTCAGGTCCCCTAGTAACGACAGTAGATTTGGAAAGTATATTCTTGTAAGAAAAATACAAACAATACAGATAAAGCTCAAGTTCTCCTTGCCTATTCCCATCCCTAGCAGTCTCCGCTCCTGGATGTGCTCCTTCCAGTCCTGTTCTTGCCCGTATGCGTACACTATTTATGAGTAGCTTCAAACATATACTGTTCTACAGCTTGCTTCTTTTCCCTGAACAAAACATCTTGAACATCCTTCCCTATTGTACATATAGATCTAATTGCTGCATAGTATTCCATTGCATGGACGTGCCAGGTTTCTTTTTCCAGTACCCTAGAGAGAGTATGTTTCCAATTTTCCGCGACCATTCACAACTTTTCCAAAAACTCTGCGGATTCTCTTTCCACTGCAGAGTTGTTTCTTCCGGAAGGATCCATGTGACCTGGAACCGGAGTCCGAGAAATCGAACCTGTGTCTTTAAGACGTATTCGTTCCTCTGGGAGTTGTAGTTTTGCCGGCCAATGGAGCTGCCGTCTCGCCTCACCTCCATTCTTGATCTGAAGGCTCACTGCCCTTTAGGAAAGTGCGGCCCGGACCATATCCGCTTGCTCGTGCGAGAGCTCGGAGCTGGTCTTTTGGGGAGGATAAACTAGGGCGGGCGGAAAAGGGAAACTACATTTCCCAGGGTGCGCCGCGAAGGGACTCGTTAAAGAGCTCGCCGCGGCGAGCGCCGGGCGGAGGCAGGTATGTCGGTCTGCGCGGGTCCCAGCAAATCACACTAGATTTCCACCGCGGTTACCCGGCCCACCGTCTCGGAGGGGCAGGACCAAACTGATCACTGAGCGCCCACTTGCTGTAGGGGGCGTCTGCAGGTCCCGCTACCCCTTGGCCTGGGTCTTTCAGCGGGAGTTCGGGGACCTGGCCGGTCCTGCGGTACCTGGGGACGCCTGGGACTGGGAGGGAGATGAGCCCCAGAGGGCCCTCACCCCTGAAGCAGGTGGGGCGCTGGATGCTGGCGCTGCTGGTTTTGCTTTGAGACCGTCTCCTGCCTCAGTTTACCCCATCGGGGCTCCTTTTCCACAAATCTTAATTACATGCCATTTATGTAATTTACAATATGATTTTACTCCCAATCAACTTCCTTCTGCCTTTTTTCTTTTTCCATGAGAAGGCAAATCATATCTCTTCCTGAACCTGTTTTTTCCCCCTTCAAAGCTCTAAAATGTGCAAAATCCCTGCCCTACCTCTCTTCTAAAAGCATATATGAAGAGGCCTTATTATTTTGTTCTGTCCCCGGCTCCCCTTTCCTATCCCAATTTTGGGCGGTGTGTGGCTGAGAACATTAAAAGGTATTTCCACGTGGCTTCCATAGATGAAGTTCTATTGGACGTGGGCAGGATGTTGGAAGAGGGGCCTGTAATCTTTTCTAAGATTTCTGTGCAAGTGTCCAGTATGGCAAAGGGCAGAGACTCCAGGAGAGATGTCTTGTTTTCACAGGGTGGTAAAGAGTGTAAACGTCCGAGTTGGACACACCAGGCCTGCCTGTACTAGCCGTGTGTGATCTTGGGCAGCCTATTACACCTCTTTGAGCTACAGATTCCTCTCCTGTAACGTGGGTATGATGAAATCCAGCTCACACGGCTGTCCAGCGGGTCAGATGCACTGAGACTGCAGTGCCTGTGGCATGGGGCCTGAAGAAAGCACTCCCTAAGTGTTAGCCAGGAGTATCCGTCCACCTTTTGTGTTATCATAAAATCTCATTTTGGCTCATCTGGCAAGGCATGCTCCTCAGCCTTGCTTGATTTTTTCTTCTTCTGGGGCATCTTTGACCCAGAGACTATTTCAGAACCTTCACTCCCAGCAGCTTCAGAGCCAAGTTAAACTCTCCTGTTCCCTTTCACTACTGGAGAACACTACTGTTCACTGAGCCCCTGCTGTGTGCCACGTATTTTACATTTTATTTAATGCTGACAACAGTCCTAGGAGGTTGGTATCTTTGGCCCTCGTTTTTAGATTAGGCTCAGAGAGGTTAAGTAACCTGCTTAAGATCACACAGGAAGGGGTGGGCCCCGTGGCCGAGTGGTTAAGTTCGCACGCTCCGCTGCAGCTGGCCCAGTGTTTCGTTGGTTCGAATCCTGGGTGCGGACACAGCACTGCTCATCAAACCATGCTGAGGCAGCGTCCCACATGCCACAGCTAGAAGAATCCACAACGAAGAATATACAACTGTGTACCGGGGGGCTTTGGGGAGAAAAAGGAAAAAATAAAATCTTAAAAAAAAAAGGTCACACAGGAAGAGACAGAGATGGGGACAGAGACCTAGGGGCTGATTCCCAGCCCAAGACTATTCCTCTGCCTCAGTCTCTAGTAGCATGCAGTCCAGATAGTGCTGGTCTCCCTCCTCTGGCCATGACCTCTCACCTGCTTGTGTCTCCCACTCACTATGCTGAAACCAAGACTGAGCTCAGACCTTCTGAGCTATGGGACTCTCCTTGGGGCATTTCTTCCTTGCTCTCTTTCAGCACCTTTGCTCGGGACCAAATATCATTATCACTATCACCTGAGTAAGAATTGGAGCAACCCAGATCCCAGTCATGGCTGCAGCATCCACTGGCCTCTGTAAAGTGGAGATAATTACTTACACTGCAGGGGTGTTGTGACGATGGAAAATCCTAATATCTTAGCTATGGGCCACAGTGGCTGAGCTCAGTCCAAGTGGCTGTTAGGATATATGTCATCCTCATTTCATTGTCACCTTGTATTTGTTTAGGCTTTATCATATTATATAGCTGTAACACATTGAGCACTTGACATATGTGTACTCCTTTTGTTCTTTATTCAATCCTACAAAATAGGTTCAGTGTAGTGGTTAAGAGAATGGACTGAAAAAAAATGTGTTTGAGTTCAAGTTGGGCTCTGCCACTTCCTTAGCTGTGCAACCTTGGGCAAGTTACTTAATCTCTCTGTACCTCAGTTTCTTCATCTGTAAGGATAAGGATAGTACTTCCCAGACAGTACGTTAGAGGTTCTTACAATGATTTTTCCTTTGAACGTACCAAGAGGGAGGTGATCTTATACTCCCCCTGTTGGTTCCCCCTTGAAGAAGCAGACACCAAGATGGGATTAGACTTGCAAGAGATTTATCAGGGGAGGGGAAAAGAGGAGGAGGAAGCTGGAGGAGGCAGGGAGAGATGTCAGTTTGCAGTCCAGGTCTGCTCCCTGTGAAGGAGCACCAGAAGGAAGGAGGGAGGGAAGGGTAGGAAGAGTCACAGACTGCATTGCAGTTCTAAGACAGTTTCCCTTGAGTCGATGGGGAGTCCTGGAGCCAAAGTTGCCGGTCAGAGAATCCCCAGGATTGGGTCTGTCTTCGTGTCCCTGCTGCGCTGTCATTGATTGGCAGCAGTTGGTGGAAAGTGTGCCTCCATGTGGACAAGCTGGGGGCATCTGTCAATTACACTCCCTGCCACAGGAGGCCTGGGAGACTTAGGGGTGCTGAAGATCACACACTGAGTTGGCGGCCAAGCTGGAATCCTTTGCCGTCCTCTCTCTGGGGAATGCTTTTGCTCTCAGGTGCCTGGCCAAGATCTCTATCTCAAATTTCCCCTCTGGATTTCCCTTCTGGGCCGAGCAGGGAACAGAGCAATTTCTGTTAGTGGTGGAGGCTTTCCCTGAAAGCTTGTGGGAGTGTGAGTGTTGCTAAGCGGTGGTATTTGTCAGCCTTAACCATAGGCTTGGTGGCAGCAGAGTCTGGCAGAAGAAGAAACTGTTGCTGAGCTTCAGGTTTCCTGTCGGCTCTGGCTGGGCCCTGGGCTGACTGTGTGCGCAGGGCACCTCTGGGACAGCGTGCAGCTTGCTTCCACTCTCCTTCCGATGCTGAGCTTTGGGGGCCGGAGGGAAGAGGTGGAGGTGGGTTGCCTGGTGGGACAGCAGCCGGGGCCCTGCCAGAGGTAGATGCCAGGGCCCCCCTAGGTGCTCGTCCACAGATGGTCTTGGGACGGCCAGGGGCTCTGGAGTCGGATTGGTTTCCCATCTGGTAGGAGAGGAGTGTTGGGGGATAGGATAGGGTGAAGCCATAGCTTTGGCCTCAACTTCCCCTCACTTACTCAGAGTGCCCTGGAGGAAGATGGCTGACAGGTGGGGTTGCAGCTCCCATCTGGCTTGGAGCCTTTGGGGGGACACTCCCCTCTGAGGTCTCTGTAGTGGGTGCTGTTGGCATCCTGCCTGGATCCCCTTGAACAGGCTGGTGCACCCCTCCCACAGCCACCCTCTTCTCCAGGGAATTGCCCTCAGCCTGGGAGGTTAGAACCTCCCTCACCCTCCCTTCCCCTCAGCTCACAGCCAAAGACTGAATGATGAGGGATGGGTGGTCCAGAAAGGGCAGCCACTGCTTTAAGGTAGGACCCACTGTCAAGCCCACCCTGCTCCCCTTGCTTCCTCTCCTGAGGAAATCACCTGTGCCCAGATTGAGAAGGTCAGAGATACACTTACCACGTGACCCAGCAGTCCCACACCTGGGTATCCACCTAGAAAGAGGAAGTCTTATGTTTGCACACACGCTGCACACAAATGTTTATAGCAGCTCTAGTTATGATTCCCCAAACCTGGAAACAGCCCAAATGTCCTTCAGTGGGGTGGATAGAGGAACAAACTGTGGAACGTCCAGGCAATGGAATACTGCTTGGCAAAAAAGAGAAAGAACTACTGATATGTGCAGCCAGCTTGTATGAATCTCAGAGGCATTATGTTGAGTGAAATAAGCCAGTCTCAAAAGATTACAGTCCTGGGGGATGGGAGGCATATGGAGTTATTGCTGAACAAGTATAGAGTTTCTGTTTGGGGTGACGAAGGGTTCTGGAGATGCGGAGGGCGGTGGTTACACAGCATTGTCAAGGTAATTGTTGCCACTGAATTGTATACTTAAAAATGATTGAAAGGGCACTTTTTTTTTTTCTTTTAAAGATTGGCCCTGAGCTAACATCTGTTGCCAATCTTTTTTTTTTTTCCTTTTTCTCTCCAATGCCACCTAGTACACAGTTGTACATTCTAGTTGTGAAAGGGCAAATTTTATGTTATATATATTTTACCACAATTAAAAAAACTCTCAGTGGACAAAATAAAAGATTCCATCCCAGTGAAAGCTATGGAGAAGAGATCGGTGGTTGTCAGAGGTGAGGGATGGGGGAGGGTATGACTGTAAAGGGGTAGCATGTGGGAGTTTTTTTGGGTACAGATGGTGGTGGTCGCCTCAAGAATCTATATGTGTGTTAGAGGTCATAGAGCCGTACACCAGAATGATGTGATAACTGAAACACAAAGTTCACGCACACCCGTATCTTTGCCTCAGGGAGCCCCTCAGCTTTGGCCAGAATGGAGCAGCCAAAGGGGGTTGATTGGACTGTCATCATCCTGACGTGCCAGTACAAGGACAGCGTCCAGGTCTTCCAGAGAGGTAGGTGACCCTCCCTACCCACTTTGCCCCTGATGTAGAACTCCCATCCCCTCCCTTGCCATACCCCTACAGCCCCAGGAGCCAGGCAGACCTGGGTTCAAACCCAGATTCTGCTTCTTCTTAGCCATGTGACTTCAGACACTTCATTGAGACTCAGTTTTCTCATCTGTAAAGTGGGAGTAATTGTACTTACCTCACAGAGTTGGGTGAAGATCTAATGAGCTACCACATGAAAACCTACTAAGTCAAAGAAGATAAAACAATGACTATCAGTAGGTTTGCCTTAGGTGCTTTGGACCAGGGCGGGGAGGCTGGGGGGCAGGTCCCAGCTATGTTGTGCCCACAGAGCTGGAATTGCGGCAGAAGCGGGAGCAGATCCCTCCCAGGACGCTGTTACTGGCCGTGGAGGACCCTGAGACGCGTGTGGGCAGTGGAGGAGCCACCCTCAATGCCCTGCTGGTGGCTGCTGAACACCTGAGTGCCCGGGCGGGCTTCACTGTGAGTGCCCATAAAGTGCCATCCTCTGGCACATGTTCTCTTCAGAACAGGGATTCGGGGTTAAAACATGGTTTCCAAGGTCCTCAGCTCTTCTGGCCCCATCGCCCTGCCCGTTCAGCATTTGGCATCAGTTTTTGTTTCTGTCAATTAGGCAGACTCATCCAGGGGAGGGCAGAAGGCAGGGCCAACCTTCATAGTGGTTTTAGAAAGTTGGAGCCAATATCTCAGAGTTAGGCTTTCCAGCTTCTCTTGAAAAACTCGAAGATCTTGCTACGCTGGGCTCTCCTTCCAACATGGCAACTGTTTGCTGGAACTGAGATGCAGCTGCCCCCATTAGGCAGGGCATGGGAATCAGTGTCCCCACTCGGCCCATGTCCCACACACACTCAGCCACTTCATCTGGTCACCTTGCCTGCATGGCACCCTGGCATAGGGAGTGAAAGTGGCTGCAGGAACGGACACACTCTGGTGATGGAGGTGGCACTGGCAGGGGAGGAGACCACTGTGTGGTTGCCATGGAGCTGACTCACCATGAGTCACCTAGCAGCCAACTGGCCCCATATTCTTACCTGCAGCCTCCCCTAAGAACAGGGGCCAGGGAGATGGCTCAGGGACTGAGCCACAGGGATCCTTTATCCGGGAGGGCCCAGGGCTGCCTCTTTGCCTTTTGTTTCTTTGGTACCTGAGTGAATTTATCTTGGGGTCTTTCCCTGGGTAAGATGGTGCTGTGTTTGGGTGCCATCTGCCCAGGCCTCTGTCAACAGGGCTCTCCCACTCTTGATAGGTGGTCACGTCTGATGTCCTGCACTCGGCCTGGATCCTCATCCTGCACATGGTTAGTAGAATGCAGGGCAGGGGCCGTGCAGGAGGCTGGAACCCTTGATCCTCGGGATTGGACGGGACTTTAAGGGTGTTCTACCTTTGCATGTATGCAAGGTATTCATTGTGAAAATCCAGAAAAATCGGACTCAGAATTGATCCAAATGTCGAAAGTAAGGAACTGGCTAAATATAAAAAGCATATCCTCCTGGTGGAGTATTAGACAGTGATTGAAAGGTCCATCTAACTCTATGCACTGACCTGGAAAGAGACTTAACAGCTCTGTGACCTTGGGCAAGTCACTTGCACCTTTCTAGGCCTCAGTTTCCTCATCTGTAAAATGAGGATGGCAACAGTTTCTCCTTCATGCCAGTGTGCTGAGATGATCCATCAAATACTTCACACGGGACCTAGCTGGCTCACTGTGGAGGGTAAGGGAATGTATTTTCATTGTTCAGTGGAAAAGGCCCGCTACGCAAGTTTGTATAGAGTGATCTCAGTTTTTTAATTGGAATTTGATTGGGATAAGTGTAGATCCACATGCATGAAATAATACAGGGAGAAGCCTCTGTGAACTTTGCCTAGATTCCCCCAATGGTGATATTTTTGAAAACTATGGTATAATCTCAGCTGGGATATTGACCTTGCTATAGTTCCTGGGCTTATTTCCCAGTTTTACTTTGTTCGTGTGTGTGTGTGTGTGTGTGGTGTGTGTGTGTGAGTGTGTGTGTCTGTGTATATATGAAGTTCTGTTGTCTTTACCTTTTCAGAATCTCCTCTTTGTAAAAAGAAATTTAAAGAATGTATGAATAAGTCTGATGCGCTAGACCTCAAAATAAGGGCAATGGTTATTATCCTTGAGGGATTATTTTCTTTTTTCAGATCTGCGTTTTCTAATTTTTTATCATAATCATGTATTTGAAAAAATTAGAGAAAATACTTTTTTTTTTTGTGAAGAGGATTGGCTTTGAGCTAATATCTGTTGCCAAACTTCCTCTTTTTACTTGAGGAGGATTGTCACTGAGCTAACATCTGTGCCAGTCTTCTATTTTATGTGGGATGCTGCCACAGCATGGCTTGATAAGCGATGCTATGTCTGCGCCCGGGATCCAAACCTGCGAACCCTGGGCTGCCAAAGTGCGTGTACTTAACCACTATGCCACTGGGTGGCCCCTAGAGAAAACACTTTTTAAAAGTCCTCTACCAGGATGTCTTTCCACCCTTACTCAGCTGATGGGGTGTCCCCAGGCTCTCTGCCCCAAGGGCTCTTTCTCTTGTCCTGGCTCCTGCCTCAGGGCCGAGATTTCCCCTTCGATGACTGTGGCCGGGCCTTCACCTGCCTCCCTGTGGAGAACCCCCAGGCCCCCGTGGAGGCCGTGGTCTGCAACCTCGACTGCTTGCTGGACATCATGAGCCATCGGGTAAGGCAGGCAGCTGCCGTGAGGCCTAGTCCCACAGCTCTCCCCCTGCACCACTAGCTGTAGTCTGTGCTTGCTCAGATGGGGTCACCAGGAAGAACGGCTTTAGGGGTGTCCAGAGTTATTTAGAGCTTCAGGAAGTTAGTGTTGGCCACAATGGGGGGATGTGTGGCCTCAAGAGGAGGACGGGAGGGCCAGCATTGGCACTGTCAGTCTGGGCAGGCCCCTGTCACCTCAGCAGCCAGAGACCCCTGGACAAGGTGGCTGCTGGAGCATGGAGAACAGGCCAAGACTGGGCTGTGCGGGAGCAGAGGAAGGGCTGGGCCAGGGCACCAGCTGCATTCTCTCTCCTCTTCCACAGCTGGGCCCAGGCTCCCCACCAGGTGTGTGGGTTTGTAGCACCGACATGCTGCTGTCTGTTCCTCCAAACCCAGGTGAGTCTGACAAGACTTGGGACCGCCTCCCCTAGCCACAGCCAGGCACAGGCTCTGCCTCTCCTCGCCCACCCGCTGGTCTTGTCCCACTGCCCTATTCAGAAGGGAAGCTGTAGCGTGTGGACGATGAAACTCAAACCTGGGGCTAGGGCTTCCCCTGCTGGACCTCAGTCTGCCTGTCTGCGGAATGGAGATGCTCAGCCCTGCCCCTTCTGCCCCGCATGGCTCTGTGGAAGAACTCTGAGGGGGAGGTGTTGTCATTCTCCCAGAGGAATGTCCCTTTGGCTTTGGAAACCATATTCCCTCTAGAGGTGACTGGATGCCCCTGCCCGGAGCTCTTGCTTCCTCCTGGCTGGGGTCTCCTTGCCTTGGGTTGGGCCCCCCGGGGAGCCTCCTGACTGTCCCACCCACAGGGATCAGCTGGGATGGCTTCCGGGGAGCCAGAGTGATTGCCCTTCCGGGGAGCACAGTCTACGCCCAGAACCATGGCGTCTACCTTACTGACTCCCAGGTAGTGTCCCTGGGGCAGCAGTGTGGGCTGCTGAGCCGTCCTGGGATGGCCTCCTGGTCCTGTGCTCTGGGCAGCCTCTCGTCCTGGACTTTCTGGGCTGTCTGGATTCGGAGGCGTTTCCCCTGTGGCAGCGGCTCTTGTGCTCACTTAGTCTTTTGCTAGACTTGAGTTGCACCCTGACCCTGTGAAGACATTCACAACCTGCCCTCCACTGTCGGGGGCGGGAGTCTTGGGCACTCGTGTCCCTAGGAGTACGCTGGCACATGTCAGGCTGGTGTCCTACGTTTTCATTTGGAGAACACCCTGCTGTGCCCTCCTTTCCGATCCTTTCTTGCTCCCTTCCCTGACTCTGTTTTCTCCCCCCACATAGGGCTTCGTTTTGGACATTTACTACCAGGGCACTGAGGCAGAGATACAACGGTGTGCCAGGCCTGATGGGCGGGTGCCACTGGTATGGCTGCCAGGCCCACGTTGGGAGGCTTTGGGGGCCTTATGGAACAGGGGAGGGAGGGTTTGCTTTCCTGCCTGAGGCAGAGCCCCACTCCTGGAAAATTCTAGGGCAGGCTAGAACCAGAATCTGAGGAAGGTCTGGAACTGGTATTCCAGGGAGCAGGTGGAGCAAGAATCTGAGGAAGGGGTAGCATTGGAATTCAGGGTCTTGTCCTGAACCAGGAAGGCTAGAACCAGAATGTGAGCGAGTTTGGGAATGCAGTTGGCAGGAAGTCTAGAACCCAACTTGGGAGATCCTTCTAGAATGACGGACAAGGACAGGAGTTGTGGGTAAGGGTCTGGGATTGGGCCATGGGGAAGATGAACTAGGTTTTGGAGGAGGCCTGAAAATTGAGGAGGGTACGAGACGGTGCCTGCTGAGGGGTCCCTTGGTGGGAACCCAACTAAGCCTAGAGTTTGGGTGCTGGAGTGGCCCAGAAGACAAGACTCTGCCTGGCATGGCAGCTGGCCTTGCTTGGCCTATCCACATGTACCCTCCCCAACTCATGCCCTAGCCTGGCCTCAGGGTGCCCCCACTTGACCTTGTCCCTCCAGGTCTCTGGGGTTGCCTTCTTTTCTGTGGAAACGGCTGAACACCTCCTAGCCACCCATGTGAGCCCTCCCCTGGATGCCTGTACCTACATGGGCTTGGACTCTGGAGCCCGGCCTGTCCAGGTGACTTGGGGTGGGGGTTGGGGAGCCATGGCCTGGGGGAGAGGCCCTGACACTGGCTGTGTGACCTCAGGCCAGCCCCTTCCCCTCTCTGGGTCGGCGTCTCTGGGGATGGGACTCCCCAGCTAAGCCAGGAACCCCTCAATAGCTGTGTGTCCTACTCTTGCCCCAGCTGTCTCTATTTTTCGACATCTTGCTCTGCATGGCTCGGAATGTGAACAGGGAGGACTTCCTGGAGGGCCGGCCCCCAGAGATGGGGCAAGGAGGAGCAGATGTTGCGGGTTATCTGCAGGGCGCCCGGGCCAAGCTGTGGAGGGAACTTCGAGATCAGCCCCTCACCATGGGTGGGTACTGCCTCTTGGCTCTCCTGGGGGGAGACCATGGGAGTGAGGACCCCCAGAATGAGACTCTTCCCTGCCTGGCCCCCTGGGCTCCTGGACCAGGCAGGCCTAGTGCATGGACTGGACAATTACCCTCTCCCAATGCAGACTCCCCCCTCCCAACTCTCTTCCCTTCTTCCTTTGTCTCATTCCTGGGTTCCAGTCCCAGTCAGTCCCAGTCGTCCCACTTTGTAGCTGAGTGACTTTGGGCAGGTTGCTAAGCCTCTCTGGATCTCAGCTTCCCTTTTGGCACAATGGGCTTATTACCATGCCTGCCCTCCCAGGGCCTTATGAGGATGTGTCTGCTGGTGGGAGGCCCGGCTTGGCATCAGAGCTGCAGCAGACATGCAGTTGGGGTCGGTACTTGTATCTTTACAGCATATGTCCCCGATGGCAGCTACAGCTACATGACCAACTCAGCCAGTGAGTTTCTGCGCAGCCTCACATTCCCTGGGGCTCCCAGAGCCCACATTGTGCACTCCCAGGTGGAGGTAAGACCCACCTGGAGGTAAGACCAGCAGAGGTGACTGCTGGGTGCCAGGGACCAGGTGGGATGGGGGCTCCAGGGCAGGGAGGGAATAGACCATGATTGGAACAGATTACCCATGTGTAGGTGTTATTACCCCCGTTTCACACAGGAGGCAGTGGAGGCTCAGAGAGGTTAAGTAACTTGCCTAAGGCCACAGAGCCAGTAAGTGGCCAAGTCAGGATTCTCTATCTAGATCTCCCTCATTGAGAAGCTAGAGAAGACTCCCCCTACGCTTTCTGCAGGGTCTGCTTGGGGAGACAGGTGCATTTGAGGTGATGGGCCTAGGTCAGTGCCATGGTGCTGAGGAAGGGGGCAGGTTTAGAGTTCAGAGGTGGCCCTTGGGGGGGCAGGGGTGGGGTACCTGGATGGGTGGGAGAGGTTTTCTGTGAGAGCTGTCATCTGGTGGGACCTCCATTACTCAGTTGAGATTTGCTCTGGAGGAGAATGCAGGGAGAGCATGCCCCTGGTGGAACCGCATGAACAAGGTGGGATGGGAGTAGGCCTAAGGCTGAGGCCAGGGCAGGGACTGACTGGGGTCTGGCTGGCCGGCAGGCACACTGAGCAGCAGGAATTCAGCTCGGGCCTTGGCTGTGGAAGAGCACTGGGGTAGCCCTTGGCCCTGGGCCCTTACAACCTTCTCCCTGGCTTCACAGGAGCTGCAGCTCCTGGGCGCTGGAAGCTCCGTGGTCAGCTGCCTGCTGGAGGGCCCTGTCCAGCTGGGTCCTGGGAGTGTCCTGCAGCACTGCCACCTTCGGGTGAGGCCTGAGAGCAGGGGTAGAGGGAGGGCAGGGTTACAGGGGCCAGGGTCCTGTGTGTGTTGGGGGTTGCCTGGGGCTATGCTGCCCACCCAAGGTGCTTGCCCTCTCCCTCACCAGGGCCCCATTCAAATCGGCGCCGGCTGCTTTGTGAGTGGCCTGGACATGGCCCAGTCTGAGGCACTGCACGGCTTGGAGCTGCATGACCTCGTCCTGCGGGGACACCACGTGCGCCTGCATGGCACCCCCAGCCGTGCCTTCACCCTTGTTGGCCGTCTGGACAGCTGGGAAGTAGGTGCCTGCCCTACCTCCTCACCCCCATCTTCAGGCTTTGGGTAGCCAGCCCCTTGGGGGCCCGGCGCAGCTCCCACACCACTGCAGGGCCATCAGAGTGCTGGCCTGAGGGATAGGTGGTGAGGAGGGTGTGGCCAGTAGAGTCACAATAGGCCTTTACCTCCCTCATCATCTGCTCTGTGAGGCAGGCTGGATGGGGATTTTTATCCCCATTTTACAGGCTGGAGACTGAGGTTCAGAGAGGGTGGTGACCTGCCTTGGGCCGCAGAGCCGATTATGGTGGGTCGGGCGTAGAACCACGATTCTGCTCCAAGTTCCAGGCACCTGGGTAGGAGTGCTGAGGCTCCAGGGCTTGAAGCAGTGTTTCAGAACTTGCTCGCGTATGTGCCCGTCTCTCTTCCTGTCCTCTCTTGAGCAGCTCCTGGCCCCCTGGCCTTAGTGTCCCTAACCCCTTCCTGTGGCTGCTGCAGCCCTGACTGCTTCTTCCTCTTCCCCCAGAGACAGCGGACAGGAACGTATCTCAACATGTCCTGGAGTGAATTCTTCCAGAAGACAGGCATTCAGTAAGGTTGATGGCCCTGACGAGCCTCTGTGGGCCTTGGCAGCCCGGGTGGCTGCTTCTTTGAAGCTTATCCCTGCCTCTACCCCAGAGAAGCAGCTGGCCCCTCTCCCACCTCACCAGGCCTGGTGTAGCTTTGGGCAGGGTGATCCTCTCAGCCCCTTCCTGTTGGGCAGCTCCAAGTTCCTAGCAATGCTCAGGCTTTGGGATTTTGTTCAGTGGCCTGGGAAAGGAGGCAGGGCAGCTGGGCCTCCCTCCCTGAATTGCCTGCTTGTGCCACCTCTGGAGGAGTTTGTCCTGTCCCTGTGAATTAGCCAGCCCCCAGGTGACAGGCAGTCAGAACTTAGTGAGGATGCAGGAGCCCTTGCCTCCCTCCCTAATGTGACTTCTCCCCACATCAGAGACTGGGACCTGTGGGACCCAGACACGCCCCCTGCAGAGCGTTGTCTTCTCAGTGCCCGCCTCTTTCCTGTGCTTCACCCCTCGAGGGCCCTGGGGCCCCGGGATATGCTGTGGATGCTGGACCCCCTGGAGAATGGGGGTGAGGCCCTGCGGGCCTGGCGAGCCTCCTGGCGTCTGTCCTGGGAGCAGCTGCAGCCGTGCCTGGACCGAGCTGCCACGCTGGCCTCCCGCCGGGACCTGTTCTTCCGCCAGGCCCTGCGTAAGGCGCGGCATGTGCTGGAGGCCCGGCAGGACCTCAGCCTGCGCCCGCTGATCCAGGCTGCTGTCCATGAGGGCTGTCCTGGGCCCCTGCTGGCCACGCTGGACCAGGGTAAGTGTGCTGGGCATCTGTGCTGGGCAGCCAGACCCAGCATCACCTGCCCTATCTGCCCTCTGGGTCATCAACCTGAGGGTACTAGGGAACCATGAGACTTTAAAGCAGGGGAGAGACACAGTGGAGTTTACCGTTAGGTTTCTGGGAAGCTGCATCCCTGTCGGTGGGAGTTTGGTGCCAGGCTGAGGCCTAGGGCTGAGCCTCTGGGCCCTATGAGCATCAGCAAACCCTGCATGTTCTGTACTAAGTGCCAGGATGTGGGCGAAGAGCTGCAGGGCCCCAGGGGGATGAGGCCAGCTCTACCTGGGGCTCAGGTACACTGGCTAGGGGCTCAGCCTTAGCCTCACAGGCAGCTCTCATTATCCCCATTTAAGTCATTCACCTATACAGCTGGTTGGTGGTGGGGCTGAGACTTGACCCCAGGAGCTTTGATGCCTGAGCCTGAGCTCTTAACCACTATGGGCATCCTGGGTGAGGGACGAAGAGGCACAGCTGGGCTGGGGCTGGCAGGATGAGAAGAACTTTGCCAGGCAGAGGAGTGGGGCATGCATTCACAGGCAAGGACACATCTTGAGCAAAAGTGAAGAGGTATGAGGGGTCTGGAGTGTTTGGGGGACTGTTGAGTAGTCTCTGGGAGCAGAGGGTGTTGGGGATGGGGCCCTCCCCAGCCACCCCTGACTCCTGGTCCCTTAGTTGCAGCTGATGCAGGAGACCCTGGTGTAGCAGCCCGGGCGCTGGCCTGTGTGGCAGATGTCCTGGGCTGCATGGCAGAGGGCCAAGGAGGCTTACGGAGTGGGCCAGCTGCCAACCCCGAGTGGATGCGGCCCTTCTCATACCTGGAGTGTGGAGACCTGGCGGGGGGTGTGGAGGCCCTCGCCCAGGAGCGGGACAAGTGGCTGAGTAGGTAAGTGCAATGGAAGTCAGAACCCTTGGAGAAGCCCCCGGCCATCCTTGGAGGTGGAAACCCAGAGAGAGGTGGGGTGCCCTCAGGTCACCCAGGGCAGTTCATCCCCAGCTTAGGGCTCCATGCTGCCATCTCTCCCTTACCCTCTTGGCAGGCCAGCCTTGCTAGTGCGAGCTGCTCGCCATTACGAGGGGGCTGGGCAGATCCTGATCCGCCAGGCTGTGATGTCAGCCCAGCACTTTGTCTCCACGGAACCGGTGGAGCTGCCAGCACCTGGGCAGTGGGTGGTGGCTGAGTGCCCGGCGCGTGTGGATTTCTCTGGTGAGCCCCTTGTGGGAGGTGGGGATGAGGGTCGCTACCTCAGAACTGGGCTGGCAGCCCCGTGACCAGCTTGGTCTTGTCCAACTGCTGCAGGGGGCTGGAGCGACACACCACCCCTCGCCTATGAGCTTGGTGGGGCAGTGCTGGGCCTGGCTGTGCGAGTGGACGGTCGTCGGCCCATTGGGGCCAGGGCACGCCGCATCCTGGAGCCTGAACTGTGGCTGGCATTGGGGCCTCAGCAGGACCAGATGGCGATGAAGATAGTGTGCCGGAGCCTGGATGATCTGCAGGATTACTGCCAGCCCCATGCCCCAGGTCAGGGCGCTGGGACTGCAGGTGGGGATGGCACACACAGCTAGCTGGGGGGTGGGGGCGGAACCCTGGAGACCCTGCAGGCCACAGAGGCCTGGCCTGAGGACAAGCCAGTCTGGTGGAGGAGCCCTGGTCACCCTGCCTAGGTGCATGCAGGTGCAGGAGGTAGAACTGGCACGTTTGCCCGTGCTGGGGAGCCCAGAGGCCCTTTTGTGGCTTGGGGACCGGGCCTGCACTGCTGCTGGGCTTTTGTCCACCAGACAAGCCCCAAGCTAGGCTGTGAAATAGTGGAGGTGGGGTGGGATTTCTGCTTCTGCCCTCAGAGACCAAATTCCTTGCCGGGTGCTGGTCCCTCCACAGGGGCCCTACTGAAGGTGGCCTTCATCTGTGCGGGGATCGTGGACGTCCGCTCCAAGCTCTCACTGAGTGAGCAGCTGCTGCGCACCTTTGGGGGTGGTTTTGAACTGCATACTTGGTCTGAGCTGCCCCATGGCTCCGGCCTCGGTGAGTGGGGCCTGTCTGCCTGCTGCCCTCTGACTCCATCCCCACCCTCCAGCCTCACCTCTGATCTTCCACCCCAGCCTCTGCCCAGTGGAGAGGGAGTGAGTGGGGCAGGACAGGGCTGAGCAGAGCTGTTTATGCCTGGTTCCCTACTCCATGCCCTGTAGGCACCAGCAGCATCTTGGCAGGCGCTGCCCTGGCAGCCTTGCAGCGGGCCGCAGGCCGGGCAGTGGGCACAGAGGCCCTGATCCATGCAGTGCTGCACCTGGAGCAGCTGCTCACCACAGGTATGGGACTGCCTTGGGTCAGGAGGGAGGTCACTGGCACTTTCCCAAGTGCCTCCAGGGGCTTCCCTGGACTGGCAGACAGCCTCATATCTGTGCTGCTCCTTAAAATGGTCAGAGCTTCCTTCTTATTACTCTGATCCTCTCTGGTGTTTCTACTTCAAAGGAGCTGATGTTTTATGAGCACCTACTAAATGCCAGGTTTTGTGCTGCACCTTTCATATGTGTTAGGCTGTTCATACCAGGTGCTATTCCTCATGACTGTTGTCACCCAGAGCTGTCCCTCAGGGCAGGGCTGGGCAGAGCTAGGTTTGGAGTAGGGGACAGAACCTTCAGCCTGCCCTTCTGGCAATGTGCCCCCCTTGCCATATGGGGGGTGCTGAGGGCCCAGCACATGGCTGGGATCATAACAGAATGTTATTAGCACAAGGCTTCTCCCTTCTTGCCACCATGGTCCCTTGGAATCCATGCACAATGGAGAGATGCCACAGCTTTATCTGGCCCCAGATCCTAGGATGCTCTGGTCACCTCAGGATGCCAGGCCTCGTCCCCAGCATGACTCTGGGAAGGGACTGCCACAAAGACGTACAGATGCCTGATATGGTACCATCTCCGGTTACTTCACAGCCCAGTCCTCTCCCTTCATTGTCATGACTCACATCCCATAATAGGTAGTCATTAGAAAAGGGCAGATGGGGAGGCCTTTTCAGTTTTCTTCTTAGGTACATCATTCAAATCCTTCATTAGGTCAACTGACAACTAGTTATTGAATATCCACTCTGTGTTGGGCCCTGGGGATAAAATGAGCAAAAGCAGGGCCCTTGCCCTCAAGAGTCATCTGGTCTATTGGAGACAGACATTAATCAATAACCACTCAAATGAATGTATAATTACAAGTTGTGGTAAGTGCTCTGAAGGAGAGGGGTGCAATTAAGGAGTTCTTGACATTTCAGGCCCTATGCTAACCACCATGTTTTGGCTGTAAAGTTCCAGATGCCTCCTGCCATTTGCATTTTACATTTTAACTCCTTGTAGGCCCTCCCCAGATATCAAGGGCCTATTCCAGAACCATCTCAAGTTTTGTCATTTTTACATAGCTGCAAGAGGAAAAGAGATCCATACCTTTCATTACTAAAGCAAGATGTGAACAGGCTCTTTCAAGTTCAGTAAGAGATGATGGAAAGCTTATTTCCAACATCAATACCTTTTGTCAGAAAAGACAGAGTGCAGGGGACTGCTAGGCTACAGAGAAAGTCCTATCATTTCTCCTCAGGGGAGAGGTTAGTGCAAGGTCTTATCCTTCGATGTGGTTTACCCCAATTCCAATGACACAAAGTTTGTCTGCAAGAAAACTCAGGCCTCTTGCATTCCAAGCTTGGCTCCAGAGTGAAGCCCTTTCCCTTGCTGGGTTCATCCTGCTCCCAGGGCTAGGGCAGAAGCTGCACAGCTCACCTGGGCCAGCTGGAATTGGGGGAAGGTGTCTTCCCACGCTGGTCCCTGCCAGGGGTGCAGGGCCAGGAGCCTGTGCTGGGAGAGGAAAATTGGGTCAGATAGGCTCTAACAGTGATGGGGCCCTGGGCTCACAGGAGGTGGCTGGCAGGACCAAGTGGGTGGCCTAATACCTGGCATCAAGGTGGGGCGCTCCCGGGCTCAGCTGCCACTGAAAGTGGAGGTGGAAGAGATCACTGTGCCTGAGGGCTTTGTCCAGAAGCTCAATGACCACCTGCTCCTGGTGTACACTGGCAAGACCCGCCTGGCACGGAATCTGCTGCAGGTGAGCCCCGGCCCAAGGAGGGAGGGAAGCAGATGGCTCAGCTGGGCCCAGATCCTCATTGCACCCCTCCTGCCCCATGTGCAGGATGTGCTGAGGAGCTGGTATGCCCGGCTGCCTGCTGTCGTGCAGAATGCCCATAGCCTGGTGCGGCAAACTGAGAAGTGCGCTGAAGCCTTCCGCCAAGGTGAGGTGCTTTTACCCTGGAGGTTAGGGCACCAGAGTAAGTGCCTTGTCACTTGTGGGTCTGAGGCCAGAGAACTTTGTGGGCTTGGCACAGGTCACAGGTATGAGGCCCCTGGGGATAGAAGCCTACTGTCTGGCTTCCCCAGGGTCTCACATCCAGGTGGGAGCCATATCTCAGGACAACACTTGCATCATGGGGAAGGCTTCCAGCCCCACCTACCAGGGAGCAGATGAGGGAAGAGGTTCAGCCCCATAGCTGAGTTCCAGGGAGTCAGAGCTGAGCAGGGTTCCAAGGGAGTGGCTACAGAGTTCACTGAACACTGTGCTAGGCACTGTGCCTGCTGCTCTACGCACATTAGTTCTCAGACAACCCTGTGAGGTAGGCTTTATCACTCCTGTTTGGAGCCAGCACTGGACCCAGGTCCTTAACCATACACTGGTTAAGTAGTGCCTCTTGGCACTTTATTCAGTCTACAAGTGGGCATTAAGTGATTATCCTGGCTCAGGCACGCCATTCTCCTCTCTGCCCCCACCCCAGGAAGCCTGCCTCTGCTGGGCCAGTGTCTGACCTCATACTGGGAACAGAAAAAGCTCATGGCTCCAGGCTGTGAGCCCCTGGCTGTGCGGCGTATGATGGATATCCTGGCCCCCCATGTGCATGGCCAGAGCCTGGCAGGGGCAGGCGGCGGGGGCTTTCTTTATCTACTGACCAAGGAACCACAGCAAAAAGCGGCTCTGGAGGCCGTGCTGGCCAAGACTGAGGTACTTGACGGTGTTGGGGTATGGTAGGTGGGGACAGGAGTGCTCGCTGTGGCCCACCTGCTAATGAGGGGCTATAGCTGCAAGTCTCCCTGGCCCTGCAGCCTCAGACTGGCCTCCAGAAAGCCTGAAATTTCCCAGAGGCCTCTAAACAACTCCTGTCCTTTGCTCCCAGGGCCTCGGGAACTACAGCGTCCACCTGGTAGAAGTGGACACTCAGGGCCTGAGCCTGCAGCTGCTGAAGAGTGAGACCTCAACCTGATGCCCCTTCCCATGAGGCTTGTCCCTCTGCAAGAGGAGAAAACCTGGAGCTACCGTAACCCCTCCCTTCCTTCCCCCATGGGAGCACTCAGCCTCCTACTCCCTACACACCTCTTTGTGAATCTGCTCCCAGAGGAAGCCAACCTGAGCTTGGGCCCAGTCCCTTCTAGAGCTTGGTGAAGCAGAGATGGTGTTTGGGAACAGGACTGTGACCTCCTGGTTGGCAGTGGCCTAGGCTTGGCCTCTGCTCCATCTGGACATAAGGTTCTAAGCTCAGTGTCTCATGTGGCCTTTACAAATTCCATGGCCCAGCTTGGGCCTTGGCCTTCTCACTCTCTACAAGGGCCTGGAAGAAGGGGATGACAGCCTTAACAGATGGCTGGGGTCCCTTGGTAAAGCCAATCCCAAAAAGGCCCTTTGAGGCATTTCTTGTGGCCTTCCTTAGATGTCAGGCTTTTGCCTGAGTAGAGACTTCATGCTCAACACTCACTCCCAGGCTGACTGGATGGGGGAGTGGGAGCAGGGGGAGGGATCTATACCCATGTGTGTGGCACTGAGCCAGTGTGGTCCTGCAGCAAGTCACTGCCAAACCAGGCCTTAACCAGCAACATTATGGACCGTGCCATGTGACTCAGTGTCTGTGGGCAGTGGGTTCTTAGGATTGCAACCTTCTTAGAATAAATCCACTCTGTCCTTCAAGGCTGTCCTCATAAAGCTCTTTTTTGTTCCTGCCGGGAGCAATTCCCACCTCCCCTGGCACTGTGGGAAACTGCCCCTGGGATGATCCAGGTTCTGGCACAGAGGGCCCCAGAGGGCGATGAGAGTCCAGGATTGGATGAGGTACCTACTATCATGTGGGTCCTGGCGGTAGCTGTGCATTCACTCTGGGTGCGGGAGGGGGCTGAGGCCTTAGGCTTTTACCTTCACATTTTAGGGGAACTGGTGGACCTGTCTTGCCCTGTAGCATCCAACCCTCCCTGGAAACAGCACACTGGCATCTCTCTGAGGAGTGTCTTTAATCAGGGTGATCATAAACCTCACAGCCTCTCCTCAGAGTAAACTTAATTCCCCAGGTCCCCAGATGCACCCAAGGCCTTTAGGGCTGGCAGGGAGGCAGGCAGCCTATTTGCTGCAGTGTCCAAGGATGAGAGAATTACCACCCATGCAGAAAGCTGGCCTGCCTTGGCTTTCCCACCTAATTAAGAGCCCAGGGGGACCCACCTCTCGTGGTGGGCAGAAGCTGCCCCCAAAGCACCACCCAGACAGGTCTGAGTGCAGAGAGTGGAGTGAGTCGAAGCCTTGTTTCCCTGCTGCCGGCAGTGGAGTGGTCTGGGCTGTCAGAGCTCCCCGTAAGCCAGACAGCCTTGCTCAGTTCCTTGGCTGTGGCCACTTAGGAAATGGGCCCTGAAGTGTGATGGGCCAGGTGAGCTCACCCTGGCAGCTACAGGCGCAGCCTCTTGATGTCCTCGCTGCGAAAGTCTATGCGCAGAGCTAGTACCTGGCGTACTTCAGCAGGGGTGAGACGCCAGGTCAATGGGCCGGAGTTGGCACCCCAGTAATCTAGGATCTCGGTCACCTGTGGGGAAGAACAGACAAGTCAGCAAGGAGGAGCTATCCTGAGACAAGGCCTTGGGCTCCACCAGAGGCAGAGCAGGAGTGCCCAGGAAGGAGAGGGTACCCTGCAGGGCTGGGCTGCTGGCAGAGACATGGTTTTGAGGGAGTAGCAGGGATCCAAATTTTATCTCTGCCTCTCTTCCCAGTCACCTTTCCCTGGCTAGGTGAAGGGAGCCCCACATACCCGCTCCAGATTGAGGATTGTGGCCATCTGGGAGAGCCGGGCAAACTTGTCTCGGATGGTCCAGGTGGTCACCGTGGTAAGGTAGGCAACGAGGGACCTCAGCTCCTTGTCAAACTGCAGACCACCCAGCTGCAGGGGAACACAAGACCAGTCACTGTTCAAGGCCTAGCCCTCTGACCAAGCAGAAATGGCTCCCAATTTCCCTCAGTGCTGGGCTGCAAGGCCATCTGGGCCTCAGGTGGTGCCTCGGTCAGCTCCAAGGCCTCAGAAGTCAGGGCAGGACTCAGCCTAGATATGCAGGGCCTGGGGGTGGAAGACAGAGGGATGCAAGTCCTGGGGGGACAGGACTTGTTTTCCTCAGAGGGGAAACAACAGAGCGGGGACCTATACTTTCTTGACTTACCCGGTTGAAGGTGGACTTCAGCACCACTTTCTCCAACTCGACTGCAACAAGGCTGGTCATAAGGCTGGTCAGGCTGTCATAGATGACTGGGGACAGGCCGGCCTGCACACAGAGGCTAGACATCAGCAGAGTCTCACCTAGCCCCTCTGCCTCTACCGGAGTCTTTGAGGGGTGGGGACAGTTAAATGAGGCCATTGGGGAGTGTTTCTGCAGGCTGGGGCTTGGAAGGGCTTTCAAGGTTCCCAGCAGGAGTGTGATGAGGAGCCACAGGCTGCTGGTATGGGACAGGTGGGTAATTTCATAAGCGAGTCCCTAGAGCCTCTGCTCACCTTGAACTCCGCCATTTGCTGCTCCAGGTTAAGGATGAACTGTTGTACCCAAGGGTCATTGGCCTCATAGTCATTGAATTCTTCCTATTGTCAGGAAGCAAGGTGAGTCACTGGGGGCTTCTCCAGGTATCCTTCACTCCCACCCCACTTCCACACCTCTTAAGAAAACAGGGGAAGAGGTCCTTCCTCTCCTATAACTTCTGACTCATCCAGCTCAAAGCCAACTTGGACACCTAGGCTGGCAATAACTTCTGCTGCTGCATCACACTTCTGACTGACAAGTGGCCCTGGGCTGGAGCAGTGGCCTACACGATATGGTAAAGCTCCTGGCATTTTATTCCCTCTTGCATCTCATGTTCTACAGGAATGAAATCATAGGGCTAGAAAAAAAGCTCCTAAGTCTACAATGGAGTGGGCAAAAAGAGCCTCAATAAAAGAGGATGACTGAGGTCAAAGCAAACTCCCTTTAGATGTCTTATGGAGCCTTTCTGACTCCAGGAACAACCTAGTCTTCCAGGGTGAGGGAAGGGGGCCTGAGAAGCACGTAAGGTCTAGTCTTACAGCTTAAGGTCTAGTCTTCAGACAGCTCCACTGCCCTCTAGCTGGGGGCTGGGGGAAGGAGGGGTAATCCTGAGCTTTATGGCTGCTTGTGGTCAGGCTGACCTCCTCGATGTTGTGGGAGACAGAGAGAAAGGTGTTGATCCAAGGCTGCACCTGCGGTTTGATGGCTGTGCTGTTTAGCTCCGTCAGCCCTTCCTGCAGAAGAACCAGGCAGAGATGCTTCGGACAAAGAAGGCACACGCCCCCACCCCTTCCCTTTCTCTTGCTCCATCCATCTGTTGACTGTCAGAATATTTTTCCAGTTCTGAGGCTTTTCTGCAGACCCTATCTGAAGTCTATCAGAGATAATGCTAATAAAAGAGGCCAGGGACAACGTGTTCCTTTCCAGATCTGTGCCAATTCAGGTCCAGGCCAGAGATGAGGTCCTTTTTCAAAAGAAGAGATTTCTTAGTGCCTGGTGTTAGGCAGCAGCTCTGGCTAAGGCCAAGCGAGAGGTCTGAGTAACCCCATGGCTCCATTTCCTCAGAGCACCTTTCTGAGGGCTCTTGGCACTGTGGGAGCCATGTGAAGATTCTAGAGGACCAGAATGCTGGCCTTTCACTGTGACAACTACACTGCTGAGAAACCAACAGGGCCTTCAGTGGCTTGCATGCTACTCCCTCACCCCTCCTCCCTGTTTCCTCATACACTTGGAGCTCAAGATAAGCCAGTAACAATCTTCTCAGAGCAATACACAGACACAGGAGTCAGCCAGCAGTTGACCCTGGGGCTTACCTGCAGGAGGTCTCGGAATTTGCTGGACACGGCAGCCAAGTCAGAAAGGCAGCTGTCAAACTTGGCCTGGGCCTGCTCCCCTCCAATGCCCTGGCTGAACAGCTTGGTACAGTCACTCTAGGGGAGAATACTCAGCTTTCAGAACACGCCTGGCGCACGGGAATGTGAGGTAGGCAGAGAGCAGGCCAGTGTGCAACCAGCCATTTCTCCTACTCCTGCCTTCTCTGGGAGCAGCTATCGCCTATTCCAGGCAAGAGCCCTAGCTAGGTTTCAGAACCTGGATTCTCTCCTGGTGGGTAGCTAGTTGGCTCCCACTACCCCCTGTGTAATATGGGGATACTGGTGTCAGGGGATGTGAATAAGAAACACGAATACCAGAAATTTTTTCATGTTTTTAGGGTCAGACATGCTAAGCATAAGTGCTTAGCCCAGTTCCTGGCATGCAGTAGGCATTAAGGAGATAGTAGCTACTGCTGTTATACTTTCTGCTTGTTAAATATTTTGGTCTGGCTGCCCAAGGGAGAGTGTCATGATTATAGCTAAGATTTAAGTGCTTACTGTGTGCCAGGCCCTGTCCTAAGCATTTCACTTTTATTAATTAAAGTACCTATCTTATGAAGTAGGTACTATTATTATCCCTATGGTACAGATGAGGAAACTGAGGCACAGAGAAGTTAATAACTTACCTTAAGCCAGACATCAGTAAGTTGTGGAACTGGAATTCAAGCTGGAAACTGGCTCCAGAGCACCTGTTCCTAATCCCTACACTATAGCCTAATTGGAGAGAACTCCACAGGGGGAGCTGCTTGAAGCTCACCATGTTTTGGGTTGCCAGGAGCTGCCCACATTTCTTGGAACCCCTTAAAAGTTTATGCTGTTTTGGCTACAGCAGGAGCAGCAGTGTGGAAGAGCTGTAAAGGCACTGATCTAGCAGGCAGAGGCCCTTAGTTCCCATGCAGCTCCAATACTGACTATCTTTAACTGGCTTTTTAACCTCATCTGTAAAATGGGCACCATACCACCTGACCTGCCTGTCTCAAAGAACTGCTGATGGGGTTGAGAAAGAAATCTAAGGGGGGTGAGATTTATGGGAATTATTTTTTCAGCTCTTTGCTAGCCTTCTTTTGTTTCACTTGGCTAATTCTACCAGCTCAGTTATGAATTTCTAATATTTCCTCAAATTTTACTTTAAAATTCAACAGACTAATTTTAAGGACAAAGTCAGGCACGTAATCTAAGATGCTGTGACTTAAAAATGATGACAGCCACCTTGTTGAATACATTCAAAGTGACAGACACCATGTTATTGGTACTTCAAGCATTCTAATTTTATTCCATTTTAAGGCCACTGTGGAGTAAATTCCTATTCTAGTCCAGTGTACATCACTGCTGTAAACTCCTACCTGACTGCTGTCTCTGAGCCTCCCTCAGGAACATCAACTACTAGGCCCTCTTCCTGTGTGCTGGCTCCTAGCCTCCTTAGTCTGCCCAGCCCTAAAGCTGACACTTAGCACCAGCTCAGTGCACACTGAGCCCTATGCCTCTGCAGCAAAGCACCCTTCTTGGTATGAGTGCCCACCAGGGAGGCAGGACCCTGGCCTCCCTCCTCTCCTAGAGGCAGAGTTTGGGAGCGGGGAAGAGTTGGGCCCCTCATTTTTTAACACTTCACAAAGTGATTGCTCCAAACTGTTATTTCTATCTATTAATGCAATTATTAACTACCACTCCATGCCTCTCATGTACCAGGTGCTTTACATTATCTTGTTCAATTCTCACAACCACCCTATGGGGCAGAGATCATTCTCTCTGTTTCACAAATGAGGAAACTGAGGCT